CAATTGATGTGAGATGCAAGAAAATGTCACTAGAGATGAGAAAATACAGGAACTCAGATTCTGGTTCCTTGGTTGGAATAACTATGTGGATGCCAAAGTCATTGATGTGATACAGCGGGAAAGAGAAAGGATTCCAGTGAGTGATATTCCGAAGTTTGGGAATGACCACTACAAGGTGAATAGCTAATGATAAAGTTGATGACGACAGTCCTTCAGAGGAATTAGAGATTTTTAAAGGGAGATTGAAGGAGAAAAAGACTGATAAAAGGCTAGAGCCAGTTCCACTGGCAAAGAATATGAAGGAAACTTTCCAAAACGAGATTGTAGATGAGAGAGCACATGGCCAATGGGCATAGTGACGGGCATAGTGATGGAAAGGCTAGAAGGTAGAAAAGAATGAGAAAATGAATTGGATCATACATAAAGATAGTGCTGTGGGGTCAAGTGGTGATGGAAGGCATTCAGGGTGGTGGTGTGGGCATGTGGTGACAAGGCATGAGAGATGTAGTTTAGTCGGGAAGGTCTCTTGTGGGGGGAAGTAGATAACTGCTGTAAATTAAAATGCATGGTACCAGCAGGAAACTATTTTCTCCTGTAGCTCCTGGAATAGTGACAGAAAAGGAATACAAAAAAATGCCAGTTTGGGAATCTGCTGACTTGTGAGCAAGAGGCTCTTAGAGAGGCTGGGTTATGTTTGGCTAAGAGCAGGAACAGGAGATCAGATCTCTGTTCTGTTTGGTAGCTCTATGAATAAACTTCCTAGAACAAAATACCCTAAACCTAAACATTCAGACTTAAAAAGAATAGTTATAATTGTGTACTGAGGAAATAAAGCAAGATAAATAATGGGAGGAGAGCATTACTGTTGGACAACACTCCCAAGATGCTTCATGCAGCTGGAGAAAACTTTTCTATTTTTCCTGCAGACTATTGTGAAAATAAGGATACGATGGTGTTACAGAAAACTAGCCTTTTGTTGTAAGGAAAACGATGCAATGGTGTGTGATTAGCTTTTTCACTATTTTCTATGAAATGGAAATAATCTAAGCTCCATTGAAATTACACTGACTTCCACACACAATTAAAAATGCTAAAAAATGTTAAATGCACAATAGATAATAACAACAGAAAATTAATTCAAAGATGAGGTGGCTCTTCTTAATTTAATTCTGCAGGTAAATTCTAAATTTTATAAGGGTTTGAACTTTTAAAACCCTCTTTTAAAAAAATCACTTTAAAGAGGTAAAATTATATTATGATATTGCAGAAAATGGAACAGAATAGCTTAGCATTCGAAGAACAAGAAGAGTAATTGGAAATGGTATTCATCCCTCTCTCCAAGAGATGTCTTGAAAAATCAATGCTGATCAAGACCAGTACCTGGTGCAGAGAAGTTTAATTGTCCAACCAATGTACTTGTGAACTTTTTCAAATTTTCATAAATTTTTACAAATCTTCCCACTTCTAGATAAACAAATCCTAGTTTTGATTACTCTAAATCCTTTCATAATTTCTCTGGTAATATCTTCAGATATCTGAAATATGTTGTAACTTGGTGATAGATTAATATCTTCTGAATCTATGTGCCCTCTTATCACATAATTGTTCTCTGAATACACAATCCCTTTTTTCCTGTCCCTATCATAGACAGGTATTTTCAAGTATAAACACTCCAGGAAAATCTCCTTTACTTTTCCAAGCACATTATTTCCAATAAACAAAATAATGTCCTAGTTGCTGTTAATCCTCAATACGAAGACTTAGTACTTACGTGTTTACTACTGTAAGGAAATGAATGAAAAGAAATAGGAGAGGCTAACCAATAGTCCATTGAAGAGTGAAATGTTTTCTCAGTCAGCAAATATTTATAATCATTTGCTATGTGTGACTATTGTCCTAGATGACACAATACAAAGAAAAAATAGAAATAGAGATTTTTATATATAATATATACATATTATATATGGCTGATATATATATCATGTATATATATATCACATATAATAAATTTGGTGTAAATACATGCAGGAAACTAAGAAGGCTACAAATGTCGGGTTTACCAGTTCAATTTATTAGTGCAGAACCTGCGATTTTCTTTTTTAAATGTATGCTGTCCTGCTCTCTTTGTACTCTGATCTGAGGGCTCCATGACCTGACTGAGCTCTACGGCATTATTTCTTTCAGTGTACAAGTTATTTCTTAACTGAGATCTGAGCAAAAAATAACCTCCCAGTGGATAGAAACATGGATGTCATGGCACTTCCTGTGTAGCCCATTAAATTTCCTCTTCAAGTGTTAGGAGTTTGGGATGATCCACTTTAATCAGATCACAATCTCTGTCCTGTGGGCTGCACAAGGTTGAGGTGTTTGAAATTTTTATAAGAACAGATGGGTTGTCACTCTGAAATCAACTATAAAAGTGTAGTGAGTGATCATTTTCTTATATCTGGTAAAACTGGTGGTTATAATGAGAAGACACTAGAATGTTTCAGATTTGTACATATGTGAATTTTTTTTTCTTTCAAGTCAATAAAATAGAAATAAAACACTATTATTTGATTGCTGTTTCCCAATCTGAAAGCTGTGCCTGTGTGTTAAGTGATATCTAGAAAGTTAATAACCAGGTACATCAGTCTGTAAGGTGCCACTGATGAATTCATTGTCCTGTCCCCTCCAGTCCCTGGTCTCTTGGTCTCAATTCTATCTCTATTTTCTATCTATAGGTTGAGAAGCGTTAGAAAATTGTTGCCTCTAAAAATATTAACCATTTTGGTTAACCATTGCTACTCTGTATTCTACACTGCTTTCCCTGTTCCAAATACCTCCCTCCTTTTGCCAGTGCTGAGCAAGTAAGAATGGTCTCTTAGCACCCTCCTTTAAAATGATGAAAGACAGACTATAGACATAAAAAAAGAAAATAATAAAGTATAAAGGAAAGTTAGAGTCAGGTAGTAAATGGGGCTGGTGGGAAGGAAAGGGAAGAGAAAAATTACACTAGAAAATCAAGTAAATTATGGCTCCTACCATTGAGAAGGAAATTTGTTCTGAGATTGTGGTGAACAAAGCAAGATGTAGACACACAGTGGATTCTTAACAGATTGTCAAGGGAAACAAAATTTTTACTAGGTATGAATTATTAGAGGTATTTATCACCTACTTCTTAAAATAGGGGCCATTGGGCAATATAATGGATGGAGACTGTAACTATTAAAAGTCTCATTGGCATTCCTCAGTTTTTTTCCTAGAAAAATTATATTTAATATGCAAAGTTTCCGTTGACATTCAAACTGCCATTATCACATTTAAAAAAATCTATGACAGGGCCTCCCCAGTGGCGCAGCCATTGAGCGCTGGGTTGCGAAGCTGCCTGCAGCCTCTGCAGTGCTGGTTCCATCCCCAGCTGCCGGGCTAGGGTCCCACATGGCGCGAAGACCTCTCCTGCCGCCCGCTGCTCCCCTCAGCAGCGTACTTCGTCACTCTGCCTGTTCTGCTCTCTGCTCTGGCTCTGGTGAATTCTCTCACCCTCCTGCGCTTCTGACTGTACCCAGTGCTTGTATAAATAAATAAATTAATTAAAAAAAAATCTATGACAAAGTTTACAAATATTTAATTCTTTATTGCATAATACCACCAGCCCCTAGTTCCCTAATCTATTACCTATAGTATTGCAATTATTCACTAAAATAGTTTATACAATCTTTAATAGCACAGGTTTCCCCAACAATGGGAATAATCTAAAAATTTACATGTAAACCCTAGAATCTTAAATTGAGGCAAGATATATAAAGTAATTAATTCCAGTTCATCACAATTCTCTGGGAAGTTTTGTAACAATTAGTTGCCAAACTTGGCTTCAGAAAGTTTTGATTTAGTAGTTCTGGGTATAGACTGTTTTTGTTTCATTTTGAAGAAATTCTTCTGTGCAGTTAGACATTTAGTAATCACTGATCTAATGCATCCTCTCCTGGAATACAAGAATCTTCAACTGCATTGCTAGGAGTTAAGAACATTTAATTTTACTTCTGATTAAACTTTCATTGTTAGGAGCCACTAAATCTTCTAAATTTCTCTGTTTCTGTAGTCTGTGTATAAAATAGTGAATGCTTTTGCCAAAAAAAAAAAAAAGTATAAGAGAAACTCTATTAAAAATCATTGTTTAGGGAATTGTTTTGTAAGCAGTTGTGCCAGGCAGCTATTCATCCTTAAAGTCTAAATATTGTTGGAATAACTTTTATTAAAGTTGAGAGGTTTTATACATTATCCGTTTCTAGTACTAAAAAATTTTGAACATCTATATATAAATAATACTCTGAAAGTGATATCTTACTTGAAAGCAAGTCTTAACTATTCCCATTGTTTTTTAACATAATTTGGAGTTATTTACTTATAATTATTGCTGTTTTGAATGAATTGCTATATTTCTCTAAGAAGTCTGCCTCTAGGAAACCACTTTTAGAATTGGACTTGAATTGAAGATCTTAGACTGTTTAGCATGAATAATAAGTGGCTAGAATAATTTACAAGTTATGCATTTCAAATTAAGTGAATAACAAAGAGATAAAATTTCACATTAAAACATTGAATATATTCTCACAAGAAAGATTCATTAGATGTGCATGAGTCCCATGTGGTAAACTGGGCTATGTGAAATGACATGAAAATAAACTTAAGGTAGAGGAAAACAAATTAATTAGATCTGTCATATTTCTCAAGGGGAAAGAAATATACACAAGTGCAATTACTTTGTAACTGCACATTAGGAAGGCTAGGTGATTGTGGACTGCTTTCTCTTTTCAAATTTTTAATATAAATTGATTGAGTTTTCAATATAAGCAGTCTTTGGGTGATTTTGGGAAAATGATTAGACTTGATGAAGCCTCTCATTCAGGGATGTCAAAGCATGGGTAGCTAGGAGCTATCTAATTTCTCCACAGCAGCTAGAATATGGAGATTCTTGCATCAGTGCAAAGTACAGAGGTTAAATCTCTATTTGCTTCCAGGGGACTTGGGAGTGAAGAAACAGTCTCGGCATCGGGTCATCATCCAGCTGCCAGCCAACGGAGGCCGGGACTGCACAGATTCCCTCTATGAAGAGAAGACCTGCGAGGCCCCCCAAGCATGCCAAAGCTACAGGTAATAATAGAGTTAAGGAAAGAGCATAGTGAGCAATGTACTGAGCAAACACTACAAGTCCCTGTTCTTTGCAGTGATGAGGAGAGGAAGCCAGCACTGCCAGCAAGCTCAGTGCATTGTGGGGTGTCTATCCATGTGTGCGGTGTCTTACCACTTTAGGAGAACTGCCCTGCCACTAAAATAATCCCCAGGGAGACAAGTACTGGTGTATTGGCTGTATTATTAGCTCTAGGAGTTTGGGGAAATTTCTTATGTTGATATAAACTATAAGATGCAGAAAAAGTGGTTAATAATTATGAAACACAGATGCTCTGGGAAGCTGTTCTTTTTCACTGAGACAATAACTTCAGCATTTTCCCCCTGGTTCTGAAAAGCACCTGTTCTTCATAAAGACTGCCTTTCTAGTTCACAAAATGACATCTTTATCTCAATGATGCTAGTGAAATGTCTATTATGTTCATTTGTGGCCACCTCAGAGAAAATTAAGGTTATTGAAACTACCTATCATCATCTTGATAATTACTAGAGAATTTTTTCTTCATAACTCTTCAGGTCCCAAACTGAAACTTGATGTCATATATAATTGTAATGCTGACAACAAGTGAAATATTATGGCATTAGTTGATGGATTGCATGATCACAAAATAATAATTTAAGGTGAAATAGATGACAAATTTGCCATCTTAATTAATTTATATTTAATTCTTAGATGACAAACAGTATAATTGTCAGTTTACATGATGAACATTGACAGCTATCAGTCTGAACATTTATTTGAAGGATTTGCTTTTGAGAGCATATTAATTACCTCTACATTACTAACCAAAGAACACTGCAGAAGGTTCATGACTTGAATACAGTGTCATACTTGAATATAAAATAGCAATTTACCTGTAAATGAAAATCTTCACTCTGATACTCTGGTGTAATTTCCTGGCAAACCTTAGCATTAAAAAAATGTCTAAGTGCTCTCTGTAGAAGCCATTTCTATAGACCTTGATGATGAACTCTTGTTATAGAAAGTATTATTATGTCTGAAGCTGCTCTTTATAATGTCTTGATGGCATATAAATTAAATGAAGATAGGACTGAGCATTTTTAAATTAATTCCTGTTTATAGTGGTTGGTCATGTTTCCATGCTACATCTCTGTGATTTGCCTGGTGTTTTTGTTTCTTCACCATGGGGCTCCTTTTCTTGTAGGTGGAAGACTCACAAATGGCGCAGATGCCAGTTAGTGCCTTGGAGCGTACAACAGGACAGCCCTGGAGTGCAGGAAGGCTGTGGGCCCGGAAGACAGGCAAGAGGTGGGAGGCCCCATTCCACACTTGATTTGCTTTTCATTTCTCCAACTTCAGTTACTTAAGTGCTAACTTGATGACTTTGTCACTTTGACACCCTACTTAGCAAACAGAGCAGAGCAGATACAAATCTGCTACCAGTCATTCCATGTAACACTAGCACACAGAAACTCGTCTTTTATAATTATGTACTTTGTTCTTTGACATTAGCCCATAATTTCTCTGGTTGAATTTATCCCTCAGTCATAGATGGAGGATAATCAGACCACACTCTTGAATGGGTTGTGACATTGATGTTGTATACTGCAACTTGTTGGGTTTTGTTGTTGATAGTCTTTGGATCATGGTATTCTATACTTTGCTTGTCACTGGAACAATCAGTAAGATTGCTGACATTCATATCTCGTCTGTATGTCTTATGTGCATTCATATAATCTAACATAATTGATTAGGTTACCCAGAAGTCCTCAGCAATGACACCCCTAAAGTCATGACTCTTCCCAATTTTGTTCCTATAAAGTACTAATTTTTAAGTGATAGATTTATGTACTTAAGAGCTCCCATATGAGAACTGCATTCTGCTACCAGATAACAAGGAATCTTTCGGAAATGAGAGATGGAAATGTTTCAAACTTTCCATAATTACTCACTAGAAGGTATGAGTAACATTTAAATTCCAAACTTTGGAACATGTTGTCTGTATATGTAGTACTTTGAGCCATTAGATATATGATTATCTTCACTCAGATTGATTTTTAGGATCTAGTTCCTGCTGTAGACTTAAAATATAGCTTAAGAGCAATTGCAATACACAGATGCTTCAATTTGTAAAAACGTGTTTTGCTCCCTCATTTGCAATTTTATGTTTGATAATGATACAAAAGTATGAACAGGCAGAACAGAATTTCAGTATCTGCTGATTTGATGATTTGATGTAGGCCTCATTTTAATAGTGAAGGATTATTTTTTTAATGAGAAAAAGTTTCTTTTTTGTAAAATTCTTCTGTTTTATAACCTTCATTTTACAGTCTTCATTTGAAACATAAAATTTAGTTTACAAATAATACTACCTAGTGAATTTTAGCATTAATTTTATATGCTTAATTATATTATGTGTCCTCTATAATCAATTTAGGTTAAAAAATAACTTTCCCTTTACAATTATTGAGACTTAGGTGTTTAAAATTGAAATTCATTCTCCACTTTTTAAATCATTCATGGAAAAGTTGAGTAATATGAGACCACGAATCTTGCTACATTCACATACATTTAGGGTCATCATAGGATTTATAATTAAATACAGCCTTGAGTTTGAGAATGAGGTTGTAACCTTTAGTCCCACTTCTTTTTTTCATTTAATATGAGTCTTGTTCCTCTCCTCACCTTTCTGGGTCTCAGTTTATTTAGAAGGGAAAAAAAGGAGGGATATTTTAGGATTTTTCAAATTTTCATATTCTATACCTGATGCACAGGTAATCCCCAAGGAATCAAAATGTGAAATGAAATTAGATAAAACAGGTGAAGGCTATATTTTTATAAAATACCATGGGTGGAAATCTCAGATATAGTAGATGCAATACAAGCATTCAAATGGTTTTAATTCTAAACAATGACTTATAAACGTGCATTTCCTAAACTTGCATTTTGATTCTTGCATTTCCTCCCTCTGAGGCTATGATTACAAAGATGCTCATATTGCTTTACCAATAGTAGGTCTTAATTGTACGTTCATTCACCCCCCTTCCTGTGAAATCATGGACCCAATGAATGTGCACGTGTCATACTAGGCATAAGAGCATCTAGGCATAAGAGCAACGAGGTTAACATGAGCCTTTTGTTTGTTGACAGTTTGCATAAAACTGTGCTTTCTGTGATTACCAGTAATCTTTCATTTCCAAATCTGAAGAACTCTCTTCATTCCTCACCCTGGGTGACAGCTTTGTAGTATGAAACACCATGACCCACTCCCAGTGCTAAAAAGGGCTTTTGACTTCCTGAGTGCTACTTTTTCCTACCTTTCTGATTGTTCCATTCTTGGTTTCCTATTATGGGTGCCACTTCCTCTGCTTGTATTTAAATAATGCCTTCTAATTTTGACATACTTGTCAGACTGCTTACTTTATCTTAGCAACCTTTTCTATTTTCAGACCATCTTTGAAAAAATAAGTTGCATTTTGGGCCTCCCCGGTGGCGCAGCGGTTGAACGCTGGGTTGCGAAGCTGCCCGCGGCCTCTGCAGCGCCAGTTCGATCCCCGGCTGCTCCCCGGCCACCGGAGGAGGGTCCCACATGGCGCGCAGACCTCTCCTGCCGCCCGCTGCTCCCCTCAGCAGTGTACTTCGGTCCTTCTGCCTGCTCTGCTCCCTGCTCTGGCTCTGGTGAATTCTCTCACCCTCCCGTGCTTCTGACTGTACCCAGTGCTTGTATAAACCAAACAAACAAACAAATAAATAAATAAAACATGCCTCTGTTAAAAAAATAAATAAATAAATAAGTTGCATTTTAACAAATGATATCTGTATGAATATACCCAAAAAACCCACTTTAATTTCCATATTGTTTTCTTTTTTGTCTTGGGAGATTAAAATATTTTTTTCTTAGAATTTATCGTCTACAGAAATATGAAATGGGGAGAATTAAGAATGTGGAAATACCTTTTGCTAAATGGCAAAATTTTCTCCCTTTGGTGGTCATTTTTTTTTTTCAGAAGTGCATAATTGACTCAATCAGATTCTTGCCTCTTTCATCTTTGTCCTTATCTTATCGAGAGACTAAAAAATCAGCTTGTGCTGATTTTCGATGATTGAAATAATTGTGTTTTAAGGAATAGCATCCATCAATAAAAACTATAGAGAAATCATCCCCACTCCTTTCTAAACATCACCCTAATTCCAAGAAGGCATTCAACCCAGATTACTTTCAGAGGACTGTGTAGAAAGAATGTCAGGAAAGAGTGAAGATGTTCAAGCAGGGAGATTACATTTAGTAAGGGAAGTGAGATCACTGGTAAAATCACCCAACAGGCAGGAGTTAAAAACTGAGACTGAACCATTGCAAAAGCAATCATTTGATACTAAGGAGTTTTAAAAAGATCTAAATGATGAGTGGGGATTTGATTTGTACCATAATATTAGAAAGAGGAGAAGAAAATACAAAATAAGGTCAATTCTATAAACTAAGTCATTGAGATAAGAAAGGCAAAAAGGCAAAAACATTAAATGTGTTCACAGAGGAGTGGGTAGATTGTAGCTCTGAAGATGTGGAGCCTGGAAATGTCAGCATCAGTGTTTTAGACCTTGTTCAATAAGTGGTAGGAGCAAAGACCTCTGAAAGCAGTGTTTTATCTGTTGGCATGTACAGAATAAATTAGAAAGAGAAGGCACATGGGTCTGGATGCCAACTAGCACACTGTTACAGTAATTCAAGATTGAAGTAACAGGAGCTCAGACTGGAACCACAATAGTAGAAATAGGCAAGAATGTACGGATTTTCAAGATGAAATAGAGAAAAATGATTTTAGGACTTAATGGCGAATGAAAGAGGCAGCAATAAAAATCAAAGATGACCATGTGATCCTTTAACTTTGATAATTTTCAGCCTGAGATAGTTTTAATTTTGGTGAAAATTTTTTTAAGTCTCTTTAACAAATAAGAGACTGCTTATAGTTTCCACCAATAGTCACTATAAAGTGAATTAGTGAGAACTAGCTTACCCAGAAATGAGTTAAAATAACATGGATGTAACAATGTAGAAAGAGCCTTCTCAAATCAAATAAATATAATCTTGATCAAGTGTACATTTTGTGTATTTCAAAACTATATGAAAATGTGTTCTGGCCTGTTATACTAGAGTGCAAAATGCTTTAAAAGAAAACACCTGAAATTTTGAAATTTACATAGAAATCTGTCTTTATGACACAATTCTGTTACTTTTGAATGGAAAAATGAAATAATGGTGAGGCAAAATTTTTATCTATCATTCCCAGAATCACCAGTAACTTTTGCCCAATCTGCTCTGAATTGTATTATCTACTCTGTTGGAAACATGACATTTTCTTTAAATTCATTCAATGTTTCTGTGAAACATTAAAATTTTTAATAAAATAAATGTTTGAAACTTTATATTCTATTAGTCTGCTTAAGCTGCAATAACAAAATTTTGAGGCATAGAGCAAGCAGAGAGCCCTTAGGGTCAGAATAAAATAGGAAAAGCCTGGGAGGAATAAGGAGGGTCCAGAGATAAGGGCAACAAAATCCAAAGGGAACTAATCATACACCCCAGGACTAGGGACAACAGGACATTCCTGGACAAGGACTATAAAGAAAAGTATGCTAAGATAATGACTGAGACACAGGGACTTAGTTCTGAGCACTGAGACATTTAGGCAGTGAGTGAGACCACTAAGAACTAACCAGTCACAAAGAGCCTGGCGGAGCTTGAGAATAATTAGGGAAGAAGGTCTATATTCCCTGAGGCAGGACTCCACCTCATCTTCCTTGCCCCTCCCCGGCCTGGGAGTCCCACTTTATTTTTGTTCCTTTTCTCCTCAATAAACTTTCTTTCTCTAAACAAATTTGCCTCTTCTCACTTGCTTGCCTGAGTGTCAGCAAAGTTGTGCTGCCATGGTGGTCTAGTGGCTGGGACTCAACGCTGCCACTGCAGCCTGGGGTCCATTCCTGGCTGGGAGACTAGGCCTGTAAACCTGACATTATGGTATCATAGACTAGGGGGTTTAAACCTCCATAATTTATTCCTCACAGTTCTCAAGGCTGGAAATTCAATGTGTTGGCCAATTTAGCACCCAGTGAGAGCTCTCCTGACTTTCACTATGCTGTATTCTCACTATTTCCTCACACAGCAGAAAGACGAAAAGGAGCAGGCTCTCTGATCTCTTCTTACCGGGTCACCAGGCCTGCCAGGAGGGCCCCACTCAATCCACAAATATTATAAACACTGGGTATATTGTGGATTAGGATCTCAACATATAAATATTTTTAAATTCAATTCC